ACAAGGCAAGGTAACAATTTCAGCACATTTAATGAATTTCGCATACAGGGATACACACAACCATTAAGTATTGACAAGACCGAACAAAGGATGAGGAATACAGAGGGCTCTATATAGACAGGGTAATCAACTCATAGGCAAAACAGGTGTGCAAATTAACTAATTAAGGACAGGAACACAAGGAAAACTGGGTCACAAGACTAAGGCCATGTCCACACGTACAGTTTTTCCTTCTTCCGTTTAAAAAAAAATCTCCATCCACATGAAAACGCAAACGCATGCTATGAAGCACTGTCAAGAGCATGCCAAGCCAACAGGTGGCAATATAATCTCAACCGTAAAGCCATATTGGCCAATCAGAAGCCTGAAAAAGTTTTCGCTGTCTACATGATAACACTGCAACTGGAGTTTTTGAAAATCTTCACCCTGGCAGGAGTTTTCAAAAATGTTCGGTTTCAGTGACCTGGTGCTGCGTTTGCGTGTGGACGAACGGCCAAACTGCGTAGAAAAAGCTGCGGTTTTGAAAATAACCATGTTCGTGTGGACGTGGACAGGGCCTAAAACAGAACTAAACTGGGACACGGATTTTATAACAACTGTGAGATAAAAATAAAACAGGTAATTGGGAGACAAAGTTGAAAATAAGAAATTAAGTCACAGTTGTGAGGTGTAAAGTCGAAATTACGAGAAATACAGTTCAAGTACGAAAAAAAGTCACAAATATTGATTTTTTTTTTGCATTTGTGAGATATCCAGTCACAATTATGAGATAACAGTTGTCATAATATAGTTGACATAATGTAGCAATTATGCAAAAAAGAAAAAAATGCAATTGTGAGATATCAAGTTGCAATTACGAGAATTAAAGTAGCAATTACAAGAAATGTAGTAGCAACTGTGAGATACAAAGTCACAATTTAGAAATACTAAGTCAGAATAACAAGAAATAAGGCAAGATTTGATCAGAGGTGACACTAGAGTTGAAAAGATTGAGAACTGCCATTCTAAGAAATTCTAGAAGGGACATCTAAAACAAAGCTAATATTTGAATAAAACATAACTGAGTATGCCAGTAAATCCTGAGCTATGAAAGAGCAACCAGCAATGATCAATCCATTTTTTTGTGGGATGTTTCAAGGAAGAACCGAAAGTATTGGTTGAGTCATTTGTCTCCCTTAAACGTTTTTTCTTGTCTATTAAATTTTTCCAACTGTGCTTCTCAAAAACACAGCAGCATCAACAGCATCAGCAAGCGATACAGTGAGTGAAAGAGGTGTGATGCTGCGACCTCTCTCCCCTACAGGATGGCTGACATTTGGGCCAGAACAACACTGACCATTGTTTCTTCTTTCAAGGTCCATGCCCATTCCTCATCTATGGTGTTCGATTACCTCCTTTCAAGGTGGTCCTCATAAAAAAGGCAATGTTAAAAGTGAGGGGCAGTGAAAAGCGGGAAGAAAACATATTGCATTTATTAAAAAGTCTATGAATAAGGTCTTCAGTGTGAGTAATCATGATGTGTAGCTGTGGTGATCATCTGAGACGTGCTAGACACAACAGGGGACTGTATGCAGACATTGCCCCTACCCGCTGTTTTGAGACCAGCCCACCTTATTCAAGCCCTTCCGTTTGCAGAAGATAAAGCAGAGTTAACCTCACATCATTGAATCAAAGCCAAATCCGCCCTCATCAAACAAACAACCTCCCGTGTCTTAAAGGGCTCATGGGACTCCATTATGGTCAAACTCCTAAAGGGACAGTTCAGTCAAAATGGAAAATTCTGTCACCATTCACACATTATCATTCTATTCAAGACCTGTACGACTTTCTTATTTCTGTGGAACATGAAAGAAGATATTGAATGCAAGTCACTGTGGTCCAACAACTTAAAGTCGCAATTTTAAGATATGAAGTCACAATTACAAAAAAAAGAAGCATATATAACATATGTAATCACAGTTATGAGAAATAGTCACAATTTAAATGCACAGATAAGTTGCAATTACGAAAAAAAAGTTAAAGTTGTGAGATTTAAAGTTGCAATTACAAAAATAATAATAATAATTAAAAAAAAATAAAAAAATATGCAGCATATGTGAGATATGAAGTCACAATTATAAATTGCACAATAAGATAAATTGTATTTATGGAAAAATTAAGTCAAAATTGTGAGACAAAGTTGCAGTTACAGAAATATTAAGTTGCTTTTGTGAGATTTAAAGTCTCAATTATGAGAAAAAGTCACGACTGTAAAATATAAAGGTGCAATTATGTAAAAATTATGTCGCAAATTCCAAGAAATAGTCGCAAGTTGCAAATATGAGAAATAAAGTCACAATTGTAAGATATAAAGGTGCAATTATGTAAATATTAAGTTAAAATTACAATAAATAAAGTAGCATTTCTTAGATATGAAGTCGCAAATATGAGAAATAAAGTTACAATTGTAAGATATAATGTCGTAATCAGAAGTAATAATTTTGCATTTGTGCTACATAAAGTTGTACATATGAGAAAAAAGTCACAATTGTGAGTGAGGTATATTTCAACAGGTTATAATATTCTGAATTTTTCACAACAAATTTTCCAAGAACTAAACCACAACAGTTTTCAAAATGGTAAAACAGACACCTTTCTTATTTCTCAGAATGTACAAAAACAAGCTGCCATACTGGTAGACTGTTAATCTATGAATGTGTCACCTCATTCTGTCCTTTTCGTGCCTCATCCCTTTAACCCTGCCTATTCATTGACCTTTTGATCTTCAGACATCAATACCCCTCCCCACTTGCTCTCAAATTTCCTCTTTTCCCCACTACAAGCTTAAGACCAGCTGTGGCCAGCTCAGATCTCAGTCTATGAATTGTCACCAGGCCTGCAAACACACCTCTGCTCTGGAGTTCATTAAAGGAAGAGTTTCATTAGAGTCCCAGCCACAACACATCACCAGGAACACTCTCTCCCCACACTCTTTACCAGGTACCTCTCACCAAGATGAGACTGACACTTTGATACTTCTCCGGAAAGAAAGGAAGCAAAAAAAGGAGAAAGAGCGTAAAGAAAAACAGACAGCATACTGACCCCTTTCCTCTTGATGGAAGCTGACATGACGACTTTCTTTGATGATGACAGTAATGATTACCAACAGGCCAACATAAAGCTCAAAGGGATCTCTGTGCACCTCAGCGCAATGACGGCAGCCAGTCCAAAATGAGCCGTGTTTTCGTCTGTGTACGAGACTTAGAGGCACACAGACGGGACTTTGTGGACTTTAATCAATATTAATGTGATTTGGAGCATGGCCAGTCACGTTAAACGGTCAGGGGTTCAGACTTTGATTTGGATGGAGACTATCCACAAAGCTTAGAAATGAAATCTGCACCACTTTGAGATTTGCATCAGTACTGTAAATAAAAACCACGTGATTGTTTACTTCTAGCAGTGGGTCAACTTGCTACATAATATGAGAAGATGCCAGTGAGGGCAAAAACGACTTACTAAATTTCCACAGCACTACATTGAAAGAATTACTAGGATCAAAAAAACAAAAAACAAACAAAAAATATGCTTTCTTAAATCTACGCTCCAATGCTAAGTGACTATATGGAAATATGGTAATATTAAAAGAGAAACATGAAGGCAGCGTAATAATGTACTGTCTGTAATCTGAGTGCGTTGAAACAGAAACATGTGGTGAACCCCGTTGTACATTTTAGCACAAACAGGTGCTGCCTGATTTAATGAAGTTAGACATAAAAATACTACAGTTCCTATATAGCCTTAAACAAGACACATGCAAGCATTATGGACAATATCTTCATTTGTCTTTGCGAACCTAGAACTGACCTGCTGAAGTTTCTGCAATGCTCACTGTAAAACTATAAATCAGAAATGTTCAGAATAGTCTTTAATTACCACACATAAGAGTACTTCCTGATACACATCTGAAATTTTACTACTAGAATTGCAATGTAGATTTCATTGGAATTTTTCATTGTAAATCTCAATTGATCTCAATTCCAATATAAAACTTTCATTTGAGACAACAGTGACAGTAAAATAAATCATAATGAAAATGCAATGCATTGATTACATAATTGAATGGTTTATAACTTTTATAATATTTAAATAATATAACATTTAATTTAATGATTACATTATAAAATTATAAATTATATAAAACAGTAAAACTGTGAAATATTATTACATTTTAATATAACTGTTTTCTATTTTAATATTTTTTAAAATGTAGTTGATTTCTGTGATGGCAAAGCTGAATTCCCAGTAGCCATTATACTTATCGCATTATCCTTCAGAAATTAATCTAATATGCTGATTTGTTGCTCAAGAAACATTTCTTATCATTAGTGTGCTGCTTAATATTTTTGTGGATGCTGTGATACAGACTTTTCAGGATGTTTTGATGAATTGAAGTCACAAAAGAACAGCATTTATTTGAAATAGAAAATATCACTTGAAATAGAAAATGTCACTTTTGATTAATTCATCCTTGTTGAAAAAAATTATACATTTTAAACCCAGATCCCTAATCTACTTCCAGCATGGACACATTGCTTCTGAATTGTTCCAGAACATTGCAAAACAAATGTACTGAACTGTAACACAATTTAGTAACAAATGATAATCAAATCCTATTATTTACATCCCTATCCAAATACACTCATTAAAATACGCAAAATGTGACCTGTGAGACTTCACAAGCAAATATACAGTAGGTTGGAAATGTTACACTTAAATCGCAGTAAGTGAAGCCCCGTGAAGTCTTCTTGAAGACAAGAAGAACATGCATTCATTTTTGTGCAGGTCTCCATCATCCACTCTCACATAAAATGGAAACACTTTAGGCAGTAAACTCTTGAAGGAGCAAATCATTATTTGCCTATGCATAGTTTTTTCCCCTTTTGCTCTGCTATATTTAATGACAGATAATGGAGGATTTTAGATGGGGTACAGCACAGAGGAAAGGAAAATGGACTTACGGTGAAGGCCTTCCAGGCAGAGGGGTGGGAGCCGGATCTGGAAGAAAGAGGGAGTAGAGATTTTTAACAACATGCTAGGCACAAATCGGCCCAAAAGAAGCACAACAATTTTCCGAATTATACTGCTACTTAGATTCTTCTACAAAGAAAGACTGTATAATCAGCATTTTCTGTTCATACAACTAAAGTCAATAGTAGGGATGCACCGAATGTTCGGCAACCGAAATTATTCGGCCGAAAATAGCAAAAAAAAATCTCTCTCGGTGTTCGACCTGCAGAATGAAACTGCAGAATATTATATTTTCTAATGCACACACGAATTGCATGTATTCTGACAGCGCTGCTTGAGCTCACGGCGCCAGGGTTCAAAGTCCAAAGCGCGAGGAAAATCTGCGTTGAAACGGTGTTACTTGTCAGTTGCTCAGTAACATTTTTGTGAATTTTTTTAAAGGCATGTTATAAATCTGCATGCAGTTGTCAACAAAAAGAAGCACTGAGATCTTCCTGCGGGTTTCGGCCAAAATAAAAGCCGAGAAAAAGCAACAACTCCATCAACATTCATAAATGATAGTATTGTAATTTTACTGTTGTTCTGTAAAATAAAACTTAAAAAAATTAAACAATAATAATGATAATAATAATTACCCTATACAACAGCTCTATTAATACATTTATAACATTCACACATAGTGTTCAAATTGGGATCTGTAATATATTTGAAAAAATGGCAAAATAGGCCTACATGGGGGAAAAAATGTGATAAACCGTGTTCAGTATTCGGCCTTCGGCCCAGTGTTTCATTTTGTTCGGCTTCGGCCACGAATTTTCATTCCGGTGCATCCCTAGTCAATGGGGTCCAAACAATACCCACAAAAAACACAAGGTGTGTCCAAAATCGCATACTGAGTAGGTACTACATTTGATGAGGAACGAACGTCATAACCAGTAAACAGTATGTTTTATATAGCGTAAATGTATGTAGTGTGAATGAAATTTGGACATATTACATCCTTCGGCTTTGTTATGTGAAAAAATGAATAGGCCTACATGGGGGAAAAAATGTGATATACCGTGTTCAGTATTCGGCCTTCGGCCCAGTGTTTCATTTTGTTCGGCTTCGGCCACGAATTTTCATTCCGGTGCATCCCTAGTCAATGGGGTCCAAACAATACCCACAAAAAACACAAGGTGTGTCCAAAATCGCATACTGAGTAGGTACTACATTTGATGAGGAACGAACGTCATAACCAGTAAACAGTATGTTTTATATAGCGTAAATGTATGTAGTGTGAATGAAATTTGGACATATTACATCCTTCGGCTTTGTTATGTGACTTACGGCCTCATGAGATAGTAAAGTGTCCATTGGATGCACACTTCGGAATCTGTACCTACTGTTTATGTTATGAATACTACAAATTTGGAAATGCTACTCATTTCTCATACTATTTATCGCCCTACTATATAGTAGGGAAGTAGGCATAATCAGACTCAGGGACAGAGATATTTTCCAAAATATGCTCTTTTATGTCTCACAGAAGAAAGAAAGTCATACAGGTTTGTAACGACTTGAGAGTGAGTAAATGGTGATAATCTGCATTTCTGGGTAAAAGGGACTATCTTTCCCTTTAAGACTGGTTAACAGCAACAGGGTTAACACAATGTTGGAATTTGGTTTGCTGGCATTTGTTGCATTTGTTTTTCCAAAGTAATTTTAGGAGAAACATCTGAGACAAAGTCGATACTTTAAAAAAATCATAACTGAGAATCGCCTAATGTTTCCGCAGCTAGCAAAGATGACCCTCTGAGATGGGATGTGTTTAAACACACAGACCTGAAGTTTTTCTGCAATGCGTCAGTCAGTCACCTGATTATGAAATCATCAAGATATTGTTAAATTCCTAAAACACTCACCAAACTTGACAAACAGGATTCCTGTGGTAGATACTGTGCCATAGGTGTTGGTAGCCACACACTGAAAGTAGCCGGTGTCTGTGGTGTCCAGGTTTCGGATTCTCAGGCGGGAGCCGTACAAAGTGGGCCTGTAAGAGACACGCCGCGGTTCCTGGACCACAGGGGCATCGTTTTTAAGCCAGCGGACTGTGGGTGGTGGATTCCCTGAAACGTGGCAATGTAACTCAGCTGTCTGTCCGAGGGAGGTAGTGATGTTATTCATTGGAGCATCCAGCCTGAGAAAGAGATCTGAAAGGACAAGACAGAAAAGTTATTGAAAACGTAGATTGTAGCTAGCTCACTCAAGTTACCCAAAGGGACTAGTGTTGAAAAAAAGTCAACAGTAAGAGGCGGAGCAATAAAGACAGAACTAATCCTTTAAACCGCCATTATTTGACATGCAGTAAGTCAAACGTTTTTTTTCCGAGAGGGTTTTCTTAGTGTTTGAGTGTATTTGTAAGTATACAGTGCCTTGCGAAAATATTCATACCCCTTCATTTTTTTCACATTTTGTTAAGTTGCTGCCTTATGCTAAACTGCTCTAAATTACTTTTTTTCCCACACCAATCTACACTCCATACACCATAATGGTAAAGCAAAAAACAGGTTTTTAACATCTTTGCAAATTTATTAAAAATAAAAAACTTAAATGATTCCATTGCATAAGTATTCATACCCTGGGACAGTTGAAATTTAGCTCAGGAGAATTCAAATGGCTTGTAGATGTTACTACACTTCCAGTGAAGTTAACCTGTGGCAAATTCAATTGAATTGCCAAACTGAGCAATTGATGGAAAAGGGTCTTGGTTAGAGTGGTGTCCAAGACCATGATGGTCACTCTAGTTGAGTTCCATGATCATATATACAGATGGGAGAAATCTAGAGAAGGACAAATATCACTGCAACACTCCACCGATCTGGGCTTTATGTCGGAGTGGCCAGACTCAATCTTCTCCTCAGTGAAGACACATGAAAACACACTTGGATTTTGCATAAACACACC